CCTGCCTTTCTAGAAAGGTAGAGAACAAAAGTACAGAGTTAGTGATAACTCCAGGCAGAGGCAGTGAGAACAGGCCCTTTCAGGCCAGCTGGGAAGCGCTGAAAGGGACAGGGCTAGCTTCACTGAGCTTTCTGCTACCCATTCCCTTTGGGAAACTTGAAAATACTTACTGTTGTTCCCTTGAAGAGCACTACAGAGCTCTGATTAATTAATTTGCATTTGTGAGAAGTCCTCCAAGGAGGAGCAGAGAAAAGAGCTTTGTATCAAGAATGGGATCTGGTGAGCTTTGCTGGTAACATCTTAGGATGTTACGCTGGCGCAGTCTAGCCTCGCTCGATCTGCATTTCAAATCAGCGTGGAACCAGACTTGCCGGGTTTGTTTCCTAGACTCCAGCCCCTGCCACCTGCCCCTGCAGCACCTGGGATGTCACGTCTGCTAGGGAATATTTTCTTCCCTACAAGAAAGCGACTTGAGTTCCTCTACAAATACATTTCTATACTTTTCAACTTACCCTGCCTCCTGGAGTCACCCCATTATCTGTCTTTCAAAGGGAGGAAGAGAAACCTCTCCCTGTTGCCTGAACCTTCTGTTCTGAGCAGACTGCTGGGTTAACACACGCATGCTGCTCTTTCTGGTTGAACTCTGCACCAGGCACTGCCCTCACTGCAGTCCCGAGGCATGCCAAGCACCTACTGACAACTGCTGCTTTCCATAAGCGCTGGTCAAGGGCTCCCCTGCCACTACTAGATCCCAGTGAGACTGCCTGGCAGGATGCTCCCCGGAACCTTTCCCACGCACTTGGGATACAGACGTCCCAGGCTACCACCAGCACTGCCAGAGAAAGGCCTGGAGCTGCACAAGGGCCCCGCTGTCGCGAGCTGGCGTGTCGGAGCAGGGCACAGCTGCTCAGCTCCTCACAGCCCGTCTAGCCAGACTGTGCGAGGCACATCCAGGGCTCCCTGCACACCCAGGGCTCGCTGCACAGAGGGGGAAGCCCTGACAGCAGAGCAGCCACATCCGGCAGGTGCTTCCATGGAGCCAGCCCCAGGGGCTCTCTGGGGGGCAGGCTAGAAGCACTGGGCATCCCCTCAGGCACTAGGTTTGCTCTCCGTCTGCAGAGGCCACTGTGCATCCACCAGGTCCTATCAGGCAGGCAGAGGCTAGGAATTGCCAGTGGGTCGCATCAGCAAAGCTGGCAATGAAATTTCAGATACGGTCTGGGACGGCCAGCAAACTACCCCATCTCCCGATCGGCTGCCTTGGCTGACTGCATGCAAGGGAACAGCGAGACCAGCACTCACCTCACTGTCCCGGCTGGTGCGGCGACTCTGTGTCACATACTGGATCTGCCAGGGCAGAGGCTGATACACAAGGTACGGCAGGGGCTCTTCATGGAAGAGGCTGGTCCCAAGCTGGATGCAGGGAAAGGATTGCAGCAGGTGAGAGAGAGGGGAAGAGGAGGAGAGGCAGAAAGAGCTGCTCCCTCCATACCCATCGCCATCAGCGATCACGCCTCTAAGGTGCCCTGCTAACTGTGGTGGTGCGCAGCCTGCCTTCCTCGCACCGGGCTGACGCACGATTCTCGCTGCACGTTCTCACAGCTGCCCCAGGGGCTCATGCCTCAAGACACGCACGCCTCAAGCAAGTGCCTTGGCCAGGTGCTGCAGAGCAGGGGCACAGCCAGCCAGGGACCCCATGCTCCAGGGGTGCACTCACTGCCACACTATTCCTCCACCCACTGACAGCATAACTTTCCAGTCTAACATCATGCTTGCTTGCTTGCTTGCCAGAGATGATTACAGAGTCACCAGCAGCAGATCGGGAAGGAAAGATGCAGCAGCAGGCTTTGCTGCTGAGCTCTTATGAGACAAGAGCCAGAACTAAGCAAATTGGCAAGGCTGCAGAGCTCACGCATAAAGCTGAGACCATGTGGCACCATGTTTAGTATGAGACACCCAGCCCTCCTGCCCAGGGTTGCCTGGTTTAGGGAGTCACCGAAGGCATGCACACCAAGGAAAGCACAAAGACCTCTGCCTCCTCTCCCTGCCCAGAGGGGCTTCTGGGGCCTGGGAACTACAGAGAGCAGAACCTGTTCTGGCCACTGCAGGCGAGGCAGGAGCCAGAGCTCTGCTGCTGGCTTACGCCATGGCATTGGGGCTGTCCTTTCCCCCTTGCGTGCATGCTAGCGTGGCAGGGCCAATGCACACCCCTGCAGAGGGACCGCTGCAAAGCTCCTAGGGACCCGCAGGCATTGGCCCTGGGAAAGGACCTAGGAAAGCCTGAAGCTTGGTCAGTGGAGCCAGGAACGACTGCCTGTCCTGAAAGAGTTGCCCAGGCTGGCAGCAATACAGCCCACAGGCAGGCTAGCAGACTGGCATGGGTGAGCAACCCATTTCCACTTTCTTTCCGCTCCCCAAAGGTAATCATGAGACTTGGCCACAAGCAGGTGAGCACAGGTTTGAGTCCTTGACACCAGGCAACCCCAGAAAGTGGCAGGTTTTTCCTTCCTCCTCAGTCCACACCTTTGCAGTACCAGCTCACCAGCCCGGGAAGCCCAGCTACCTGCACTTGCACGGGCACAGAGAACTGCACTCGGCAAAGCTCTCTATCACCCTGCTTTGCTAAGATGACAAAAACCTCATACAAGCTCTTAAGCCAACACTGCAGACAACTTGCTGCCGATAACGGAGCCAGCCCCGGCAAGGGCACAAACCCAGTTGCTCGTGGCAGTGCTGCCTCCGGCCACAGCTCCGCTGGATGCTACTGCCAACATGCAGTGGCCGAGGGCTGGAGCCTGAGGCCACAGGAACAGCCAAGTCCAGCTCCCCACTGCTCACTAGCTTCTACGCTAAGATAACTCATATGTGCCTAACTAACGTAATAAACCTAGAAACAAGACCAAAAGCATTACAACCTACCTGCTGCCAGGCCAACACAGACTCACCTGTCCAAATGCTCTCACCGCGAAAAACAGTGCTGTCATCAGGGTTGCCAGCATGGCTGGAGCGTCTGAGGGGCTGCCGCTGCTCTGGGAAATCAAGACTCGGAGCGAGGCGCAGTGGTCTCTGAATAGCCAGCGACTGAAATGAACCCTTCTCCAGCCGACAGCCTCCAAGTCCCTTTAATGAGCTTACGGCTCACGTTCATCCTGGCAGAGTAATTGTGCACTGTCCTTTTGCTCTTCTAATCACTGAATTTCTTCAACATATACAATACTGGCATTCCGGGAAAAGCAAATCCTCTTGCTCTCTACATACATATGCAGACAAGAGCACGCATACACACACGTGCGCGCGTGCATACACCCCAGATACCTCACGAGCAGCTGTAAGGGAGCTGAGAAATGACACAGGGCAAATCTCTTCTGCTTGGGACTGCTTCTCAGCAAGATTACAACAAAGCCTCCGGCACCCGGAAGGCACCCACAGTTCAGGCACGACTTTGGATTTCTCAGGGTTGTCCCATGCTCTTTGCACAGTGGCTGCCTCAGGAACAGGGTAGGGGACAAACTGAAATGGGGGACTCAACGATATGCCAAAGTCCAGGGCTGGAAGCGTTGGGTTCAGCTCTTCCAGCGCTCGGTCCATGCTGCAGTGGGCAAGCCCTTGGGTACACTGCGAGTCATTTGTACTTAATAAGGCTTCTAATTGATTTTTCAAATTTAATTAGCAACTGTCAGGGAAAGGGAGCCCTCAACAGAGCAAGGCACAGCACGGCCCAGAGAGTCTCCACCAAACAGCTTTTGGGTTAGCTATGGCTAGGCAGCAACAACATTTTTGGACAAAGCAAGCCACAAACAGGCGAGCCTGCTACCTGCAGCACTAGGATGTGGCAAAGCATCGTTCTCCTCCTAAACAGTAAAGGAGAGGGGAAAAAAAGGCCAGCAAAAGGTGTTTTCAGAGCAGGCAGAACTCCAAAGCCAGTGCTGCACACTGCCGGTAGGTCAATGGGAGCTACGTTAAGAACCTCTTGCCCCCAAAAGCGCTTAACTGGGCAACGCATGTTGCTGTCAGAGTCCTGCCTCAGTAGCTCTTATTGCAGCTCTCCAGCAGGCACAGACACAGGCGTGCAGATCAAGCACAGCAAGAACTGGGGCAGTTTGGGGTCGGGGGGTTGTCCGTGTTTTTGTTTTTAAGGACATGCATCTATCAGCCTCCGTTTCTGCATGGCCAGCTGATGCACATTTTGTTGTTGCTGTGCCAAACGTGTCCTTCAGCTTCAACAGCTCTCCTCCCTTCCCAGCACGTACAGCAGCAATCACGCTCCTTCCTTTCCAGCCCTCCCTCCACAGACAGACCACAACCGTGCACAGTACCATCCCAGCCCCGGCACACTTCTGTGTGCCTCATGCATCCCGGCACCACATTTGCCTTTGTGCCCTTTCTTTGTTGCACCAGCAGCTCAAATCATGCTATGACCACCCAGGGTCCCCGCATCCCCATCCATGCTAGCCATTTCCAGCTGACAGTGCACCACGCAGAAGCAGCAGAGCTGGGAATAGAAGGGCAGGTGTTGAACCTCCCCTCTCCCCATCCCTTCTGTGACTACGTTACACATCCGCAGCCTCTCAGCGCCGGAGAGTCCCCAGCCAGGACACACGCTGTGAACGCCCCATTTGGGCAGAGGCAGCCTTTGCTGCAGTGCTTTGAGACAGGGAACAAGCTGAGTCTTTAATGAAAGACTACTTTGACAGGAAAATCACAAAGGTGCAAACACACACAGCTGGGAAGGGCTGGCTACGGGTGTCGTGGGGCTGCTGGAAGGAGATAAGAAGGGAAAAGGAACAAGCCATGGGGAGAGAAACACACGTCAGCAATCCGGCCTGATTTACAGCAAGAAGGTTATTCAGCGATCCAACCAGCAGGATTTGGGCAAGCGCACTGCAGGGACAGCAGGACCTAAAACACCGTTTGGGGGAGAATTCACGGCTGCTCTGAAATAAGTGGAGAAATCAGCAGTGACAGCCAATCTGCAGAGTTCACCAATTTTAATACATCCCAAGTTGCCGGAGAGCAGCTCCAGAGCAAGGCCCAGATCCGCGCGGGTGCAATGCAGCCTCATCTTCCCAGGGAGAGCTCCGCAGGCAGCTAGAGCAGAGTCAAGGAGCACGCAGGAGAGCGAGAGCGCAGCTCGCACCGCTGCGCGCTCCCGCAGGCGGCCCCCTCTGCCAGCCTCCAGCCGCGCCGCGCCGCCCTGGGTCTGTTCCAGCACGCAGCCTGCCTTACAACCTTGACAGAGAGCTCCAGACTGAGAGAACCATTGCAATGTGCCTGGATGACAGTTGTATGAGAAGGGCACGATACAAGCCCATGAAAAGCTGTCCTGCTGCCTGAAAGCCCCACAAAGAATGGCTTTTGCAGTTTTGTTTTTTAGCTTTCTCTCTGCCCCTGCATTCGCTACCCTAGCCAGGTGCTTAACAGAATAACGGTAATAAAGCCACAGTGAGCGGAAGTGGTCTTGGAAATTGCCAAAGACGACCTTGACAAGAGAAAGCATCAAGCAGGCTGGAGACGAGCAGGGGAAGATGTGAAAGGTGAGGAGAAGCTGGATATCTAGGGCAACAAAACCGGGAAAGAAAGCATCTCATCAAGAAAAAATAAAGCTGCAAACATCACCGACTCACAAAACATACCCAGGTTGATTTAATTTGCATATAAAACAAAACACAATTGGTATCAAACTTTAAGGGGAAAATAAACACATTTCAAAACACAGTATTGCTAAGAAAACAGGCATTTCTCCACACTACTCATATATGCTTTTCAGAACGCACAGACTGGACTCAACCACAGGCTCCGGGTGCAGCGTCCGACCGACTGGCAACCTCCTCGCGTAACAGAAAGCCAGAGCAGCAGGCTTCTAACAAAAATAACTGCCTGGAAGGCCTGCCACGGGTCCCGCTACTAGCAGGCGAACCAGAAGCAAAATCTCTACAGACAGGGATTGGTGTAACCTGAGGGCAGACAGGAAATCAATATTTTATCCATCCCTTCCTGCGGAGGGATTCCTCTGGCCAGCTGCCGTTCCCTGGGGCCATCCGAGGCCTCCCTGCTCGGCCAGCGCAGATAAAAGCCCACCCGGATTTCCTCAGCAAGGACGTCGGCGTGATGTTCGCTGCTGGCGGTGCCTGGAAAAGGCCTGCCCTGCGCTCGCTGAGCAAGCGGCGGGGGGAGGATCCACGCGAAGGCCTAAACCCTGTGGTCAGACCCATGAATGTGGACCCAACCGGAAAACCAACCTGCCCTAGGACAAAGGCTGGCCAAGTTGTTTAAACAGTTCTAAAAACGGTCAGCAAAAAATGTGAATACAGACACTCTTCTTGAGAGTTTTAAAATATTCATCAAAAATATATTTCTATTTGCAGGTAAACGTTCCCTGGCCTCACTCGCAGCACGGACTGCCACGATGTTGTGCCAGCACACAACCGCCGGAAGCAGAGCAGGGGGGCGGTTCTGCTCCGCTCTGCTGTGCGGCATCACTAGCCACGCTGAGAAACACGCAGAACGCTGAAGGGTCCAGAGCAGCAACTTCCCCATCCTCCCTGCATCAGCCCTCTCTAGAGGGAATGGCTTTGAAGATGATTTCTCACAGACAAAACCCTTGAAATGCAGACTTTTTAATCAGACAAAACGGCAAGCAGTACGGCATTTTTTAAAGCATGAAATATTTAAAGTCAGCTTGCAGGAAAGATTGATATCACAACCAAACACCACATCTCCCACTCAGCCGTACAAGAGCCTAGCCTGCCTTCCCCCCACTGGTTAGAGCAGCGCTGTCTGCCTCCTCCCTGCTCCACGCACCCCAGCAGGGCGATGCCAGATCTTCTGGACAAAGCTTCTCCAGCGCTACACAACTGCAGCCACCTGGTAAGTAAAGCAACGAGCCACCCTCCTGCAGCTGAGGTCTGAGAGCAGCAGCTCCCAGTGCCTCGGCCTTGCTCCTGGCCACGCACAGCCCCGACTTCACCGTCACGCGAGCCCTGCCCTCTGAGGGCCTGACAGAGGCGCTGGAGCGGCACAGCCACATTCCTGCATGGGAGGACACCCCAGCTGTGGAGCCGAGCTCTGGACTCGTCCCCAGGCTATGAAAGGACTCAGGTGGGGCTTCATCTCCTCTCGACATTCACACTAGGCTGAGCTTCCCAACGGTGGCTGTGCCAGCAGAAAGTGTCCCGTGCTTCCTCGCCCCCCTGCGTCAGCACGTTTGGAACGAACTAGACGAGCCCCCAGCAGAGCCACGCTGCGCAGCTCTGGCCGGCGCCCCCGCAAGAGGGGGAAACCAGGGTGGCCTTTTCCAGAACATCTGCCACGAAAGCCACCCTCGGCTTCGTTTCTGTTGCTTCCACATCGGCAAAAAGGAACGTTTCCCAGAGAGTCAGAATCCGCCGTTCTGCATGTTAGCAATCAGCCTCACAAAACCAAAGCCCAGAGCGCAAAATCTGGTAAACATTTTCCACTAGAAATCCCCAGATTCTACAGCCGTTTTGCTGCTCGTTCTCCCCTGCTCTCGCACGTGCCACGGAGGCCAGATGACTCTGCTCACCTGCCGTGAAGCATTTGTTGGGCATCAGTGTGGGCTGCTTTCCTGATGCACTTCCTCTAGCAAAGTCTCAGCTGGATTCACGTCCTCCCCCTTGACCAGTTACTCAAAGTCCTCCATGATTCACAGCTCTGTCTCACGATCGCTAGAATACTAATGAGAGAACTGTTGATTTATTGAAGGTCTGATATTTCACCACTGGATTAAACAGTCTATAAAGTATATTTGGACACTTTACAGGATTAGAAGAATCCACCTGGGAAGTTCACTTCCTCCTGTCTCTGCTCTCTTGCTAAGAGACTTTATTTCAAGGGCACAGCACAGAGGCAGAACAGAGATGGCTGGGCATCACCGAAACACAACATGTCGTGAGGGAGACCACACGGGCCCTAGCCACCATCTCTCGAGGCACTGTGCCCGTGGCCAAGGGCTGAAAACACCAGGTCCCACCTTTTAGTAATGGTACACTTTAATTTGTTTGTTTTCATCCAGTCCTAGCTGAAGTAGGCTGGGGCTGCTGGCAGGGGGCTTCTGTGCACCTGGGAAGAGAGGCCTGGCAGCTGGGTGAAGGAAAAGCACAGCTTACACAAGGGATTAGCATGCATGAGCACAGCCAGGAGACAGGACAGGTACTGAGGCGCAGGAACCAGCCTCACGCACACGTGTTGTATTCAGCCTGCTGCATCCAAATCAAATGGAATTAAGGGGGGATTATGGGACTCAAAGGAGCACTGTGCTCAGGACAGCTTGCGCTATCAGAGCGACCGAGGGATTTGCTGCTAATATCAGTGTACACTGCAAAGGCAATACTTACAGCCCCAGTATAATGCTGTTACAGCACAAACCTGGAAACATCCCTGTGAACAAAACTGAGAGGTTTCGTTCCAGCGTCTCGTCTCCGTTTAATCCAAGTGTATGCCTCAGCAAACTGAGCTGGACAGGTCAGCTCCGCCAGGGAGCCTAGGGCCCTCCCTGCACAGCCATGTGGCCATCCCACGTGCCAGGTCCACGCGACTCCCGAGGAGCCTCACTCCAGACACTCTCACCACGCAAAGACCAGGCTCCCGTCGAGAGCAACACTGCTAATGCTGGAGGGGTATTAAAGGGACCAAAATCAGGCCTGCAAGGCTACATCCCTGCTTCCCTGCCTCCTCCTCCACTGTGCACTCTTCTCTGGCTATTTTTGTAAACTCTCACATTACCAGCTCCAAGCCCTGCCTATCACAGCAAAGCAGCAGCGCTCCAGAGCGCCACAGCACAACTGGAGAAAGGGAAGAAGAGAATTTCTCCGAGTCAAATACAGCTCAAAGAGGAAAAAACAGCTCACTCTTGTCTTAAGTGCTGAACAACGTGTTCTTTTGCAGAACTGGACAATAAACTAGAGGCTAAGGCTTCAAAATTGCTATTGAATGCTTTCTGCTCCTGAATCACTCACCTCCTGTTGCCTCTTCCTACCTGCTGCAGGAAGCTAGAGTGCAATTAAGGAGCAGATCCAGGCAAAGGATACACTTCTGAATCCCTCTTGAAGTCTTCCAGCCATTTCTTGTTGGTCTCGATCATTCCTTGAATAGTCATCTGATCTGACTCAGAGCCCCGGAACTGGGAGTGCTGGAACAGGCGGATTTGCTCACTGTTGTGTGTGAGAGGGAGAGAGAGAGAGAGAGAGGGAGAGCAAGTGGGAAAAAGCGGCCTAGGAAGAAATGATCCTACAGCTGCGAAAGAAGAGGATGAGCTGTTACAAAAAGAGCCACGACTAACAAGAAGGAACCTCTTTTTGGCTCCAAGCCCTCTCCCAAACATATCACGGGGAAAAGCTGCAGCAGCCACCCACTGTCCAGCTGCTGTCCTTCTTTTGGTCTGTGTAGCAGGAGAAAGCCTACAGTGGCAGCCTCCCCTCCGCCCACACACACAGCAGCGCCTATCACGGCAGTGCCTACCATGGCAGAGCCAGCGTAAACGCCGCTTGGCACAGGGCTGGCCTCTTTGGATCCCGCTCCTGGAACTAGGGTTATCAGCACAACTCTGACTGCAGCTGCACTGAAGAAGCTGCAAGGCAGCATTGAGTGTGTGGCACTGAATAACTAACAATATCTAACCTATCTACTTAAGAACGATATCTAACTTATTTGTTATCACAAGTAGGTCAGAACAAATTCATATCTGACCTATAAACTATTCCAGGGAAATAAAAGCAGCACAGTGAAAGAGAAACACTCAAGGAAAAAGAGCCTTACTCTGCAGGTACGTAACCCAGCTTGCTGTCCAGAAAAGCAGAACTTCCACTGAGCGATGGTAACCCACCTGGAAAACAGACATTAAATTTCTCTTGTTCACTGTGTTATGGATTCATCCCCCTACAAGCTGAGCACTTGTGCTGCGGAGGCACTTCCGAGCAAGGGGGGAAAACATGCTGGGAGGACAGTCTGCCAGACTAGCCCAAGGCTCTCTTTCCAACAGGGACAAGAGCTGGGAAGCAAGCAAGAATTCCTGGTTCAAACCAAAAGAACCAAGCCTCCTCTCAGACTTCAAAGCCGCCAGAGATCAATAGTAAGAGGGAAAACAAACATGATGCTCATCCGCTCCTTTTGCTATCCAAGGATAAATGGGCTTGGGATTAAACACTCTTAAGAGGGGGTGGTTACCACTCCAGATGCACAGGGCATAGCGGTGTTATTAAGGAAACCAACTTGGTGAGCCCTATCTGCAATTCGCAAGAGGCTTCCAGCAAAGCAGGGCTGGCTCCTCCTCTTTTGCTCCCTTTAATAACTGCTCTCTTGGGTGTATGTCAGAGGCTGAACTGCTCTCAAAGCAGGGTAACAAGATCAGCTCTATGCTGCCGTTCCTGGAATGAGATTTTCTCATTCTCTATCTCATTAGCACCATTCTCTACAGCAGCACCAGTGGATCTGGGCTTATCAGCATCAGCTGATTAGAACTTGCAGGACAGGGAAATCAAAAGCCATAGACAAACAAGCAGAGGGATTAAGGATTGGAGACTGACCTGGGAAATACTTGTGCCATTTCTCTGCCAGGGTGCTGTCCACTGACTGTCCAGCTGTGAAAGAGCAGCTGGAGCTCAGCCCAGTGTTCCAGGCCCACCGGTCAACCAGAGACACCTTGGCAGGAGGCACCAAGGAGCCACCCGCCTGGACTCCTGCCAAGGAGGCATAGGTAGAAAGAGGGATGCTGTCGCAGGGCACCTGCACGGGCACCTGTGTCGAGGTGAAGAGTGGAGACTGACGATTGTTCAGAGAGCCCAAAATGCCAAGGACCCCATTCAGCTCACTCGTGATGCGCTGCAGAGAGTCTGTCAAGTACCGGATCTTGTCCAGCTGGGGGTCAATCTGCAGATCAGTTCTCAAATCAACTAGCAGAAGACGAGGAAAAAGAAAGGGATCACTGGGAGCGTAAGGGAGACACTGCCTCCCTGGCAGAAGACTCGCTTTCTGCTCTGTGCTCATAAAAAGCATAAAGCTCTCTAGGGCACTGGCCAAGTTAGAAAAGGGACCATCAGGACTGGGCTGATATAAAGGGCTCTCATCTTATGATGAGAGAAAGCCCTAAAGTTCCACGCGTGCCTGCCGATGTTTTATTGATCAGGGTCAGAGAGATAATTTTAGACTGGACAGATCTGTCAATCTGTTGCTACAGGGAAATTTTCCAAATTCTTTTTAAGCTTCAGCTTTGCCAGCCTTTCAAAGCAATGCAACCCTCCTGCCTGCTTACAGAGAGCCTTGCATTTCATCTGCACAGCCCCAGTTACAGCAGACTGAAAGCAAACAGAAAAGTACAAGCAGCAGCCGGAGGGAATTGCAGCAACCTCTCCTACCATAGAGATGGGAGGAGAAAGAAGCCTGGACACCAGCAGAAGAGCTATGCAGCTCTGTAGCAGCAGAGAGGGAAGGGCTGAAGCTCAAGGCACAAGCGTTAAAGTCACATTTGATAACCCAAACTAATAACAAAGGTAGAGATTTCAAAGGCCAGTTCATGCACAGATTGCACCCCACTCATATAGCACTACAGGCAGGGAATAAGCACTCCCAGTCACAGACAGCAGACCCGCCTCCTTGGTTTAGGAGCTAATGAGCACAAGTGAGAACAAGAAAAGGTACATCACAGGGAGGTGAGAGGAAAGGCAAAAGGAGGCCTACAGCATTAAACATTGGACAAGCATACTGAGCCAACCAGGCCCTTACATTTATGCTGATGTACATCTGCACTGGACATGCTGTTTGTATCCTCGGAGTTGCTGAGATCAAAAGTCACCATCTTTTTGCATGCAGCACTCTTCAGTGTATCTTCATCTGAAAGCTGGCCAAGATAAGGAGAACAGTGCAAGTAAAACCTGTGTTCTGTTCCCTGGAACAAAAAGCGCACTGCGTATGGCTCATCTACACAGGCTGGGCTGCACAGTCAGGCGTGAGCCAAGTGAAGGCAGAGGTACCCATCTCCCCTACCAGCAAAGAGATGCTTGGACTCTGGAAGAAGCAGGAGCATGCACTTGAGGCCAAATCTAACAACCGTAAGAAGAGAATCTTCGGGTTGGAAGTCAAAGAGTTCTGAGGATTAAATAAGCCTCATAATTCTGGCATGGGCTGCATTATCTCTCTGCACCAAGGACAAGAGCTGAACCATCAGAGATCTTACACACTCGCATCTGCTGCTGTCCTGTCTAAGGCCACGTGGTCACAGGCAGAGCTGGAGAGATTCCAGGGGTCGCCTTGATCACGAAACAAGACCAGATCACCGCAAGGTCACACGCCCTTGTTTTCTCTGGGCACAAATCATGCCAATTTTTCAGGCTGCTTTCTACATCCATTCTGCAGACGTATACTTACAAGTCAGTCCAAACGTCATCAACAGAGGGAAGGTACAATATTTGCAATTTTGCCCAAGATAGACAGTTAATAAGCATCTAACAATTTTGATGTGAGGTTTTGTTTCATTTCCTTGGATACTTCAGCATTTCAGTGGTAACACAGATTTGTCTCTAACCTAACAAACAAGCTTCTTACAAGCCAGTTCACTCAGCACGTTTCCTCCAACCAACTCCATCCCTGACGCCAGCAGCCCTGCCTGGCAAGCTGCCACCACGGAAGACGCTCTCCCTCCATCCTAAACCCCAGCCCACATTTGTTCTGCTGGCTGCAGAGCTACTGAATCATGTGGATTCAAGTCTAATTAGGTTTGTCGTTCTTTCTAGCTCTGTGACTAGCCTACCCTCTCCAGCCTCTCCCACAGAGAGAAAGACACGCTGTTCTTCTCTCAAAGAATGAGTTTTAGTAGCCCAGCTCCACAGGCAAACACCAGTCCTCAGCCATCACCAGCTAAAGAGCCCTCATGAGGGCCAAAAGCCCTACAAAGGCCCCAGCCTAGGAGAGGAGACCAAGAGCTCTGTGCACCATGGGAGTGCAGGTGGGTGGGTTCAAATAACTGTATAGCTGGTGGTTACCTCTTCCAACAGCGACGACTCCAGCTGGCTGAGTTTCTCCTCTTTCCTCTTTAGCAGCACCTGTCCTTTCCGCATAGCCGACTTCATCTTGTCCAACTGCTTCGCTTCCTGCAGTGGAGCGACAGCCAAGCCAGGGAGGAAAATTAAACAATAATGACAGGAAATAATCTAGTGCTCACAGTGACTTTCACTATCTCACTCCTACCCAGCACAGCATATCATGCTGCTGGAGTAAAAATGCTCCCAAGCCTTTGAGATCACGGGAAGCGGAGAGTACGGAGGGGAGAGCACGTGCCTCAAGCAGGTTCAGCCCAAGGAAAAGAAGGTTCCCCTTCTGAACCCTGCATCCAACAGGGTTAACAGCTTGTTTCTGCAAATACGAGCGCTCTCCATCATCAGTGAAGGAACTGAAGATGTGCCCTGTGTGTAGCTGGTGTATCAGCAGAGCCGACGAGTATTAGAGAACCCATTTTCAAGCAAGAGTGAAATCACTGTGGAACTACAACCACAAAACTTGTACCTACCAGCGCTTCCTTTGCTATGAGGAGAACGCGTGTCACTGGAATTGCGTGATGCAGTGATGCAGGAACCCCTTCTCCTTACTGAATGTTTCCTCCATTTTTAGGACCCAAGAGCTCCAACTAACGATAAAGTTCCTGCAGTCCAGCAGGCTACTGAGAGTTGGCTGAGATGCAGTGTCTGCTCTGAAGCTTGCTCCTAGTCCAAAGCGTGCACAGCGAAATAGAACTTGAAGCATTCAATCTTGCAAAGCTCCGGTAGCTGTGGGCTATGCCTGCCCATGCAGGCACTCTCAGCCAATCATCTGATGCACAGTAATGCCACTGCGATCCAAGCCCTAAGTTAGATTCTAATTAAGCCTGTTTCTCAGCACATCGCATCTGCCCAGTATCCCTGAACAGCTCCCTTGGCCTTCCTGAAGTAGTGTCTACAGCCAGCCTCTGAGATGCGCAAGGACTCTAACCCCTCTACTATCACGAGGAAGACACACAAGCAGGGATGAATGAACACCATACATCTGTCTGGCAACATGCAAGATCGGATTTCCGGGAGGAATGAGCAACTAGAGCCGCCTGTCACTGCAGCAGCAGAGCCAGGAATTGATCCCAGGACTCTGGATTCACGGGTGCAGCCATGACGCCTATTATCGGAACAGAGGCGGTGCCCGATTGCTCACCTCTTCCAAGTTCCTGCGCACACCCTCCAGGAGGTGGGAGCTGTCAGGATCCTGTACCACCTCCTGTGCTTTCTGCATGTCCTGGCGCCACTGCTGCTTTGCAGCTTTCAGTGCTGTATGCCTCTTCCTCATGGAGCGGGTCTGGCGCACCAGGAACTCCTTGGCATTCCTAATGGAAATCCCTTCTGCAGAGATGTAGCTCCTGACGCTACAGGAAAGAGACAGATACACGTCTGGCTTTCTCCACCCGTGCTGGGTGTTCTGTCCTGCAAGCCTCCTGCAGCACCCTCCCCAAAAATGGATCGTCAGCGCTTCCTATGTGTGTAAAACCCAGGAAAGGCGCGTCCCAGAAGTGGCCGGTGCACGGATACTTACTGATCATACTGGAAGTTGTTGTCCTCGTGGCTTTGAGAAGGTGGGGAAGCAGGCTCTCTGGATGAGTGCTGAAGAGTTGAAAAGTTTCAAAAACCAAGAAATATGCATAAGAAAACATGCATGACTCCCAGGGCACCCAAGTATCCCACATCAGTAAAAACGGACAGAAAGTAACCAAGAGTACAAAAGACATCGATGTCTTCCAGCAAAGAAAAACGCGTCACTGCATGTCAAATCAGTTCAGGCAGAAGGAATCAAAGCGAGGATTTTTGAGGGCGTTAAAACCTCAGATGTCACAAGGCAAATGCTTTTGCAACGGGCTTTACTCACAGCTTGGATAGTTTCTGCCAGGTCTTCAACGTGGAGCTCAGCTTTACCTCTTGGAGATCCTACACTTTCTTCTGCCTCCAGTTCTTTCAAAATCTCCTGTTTGCTCCTGATAGCTGCCTCAAGCTCACTGCCACAAAAGAAGGTAACAGTGGCTGCACTGGGTGAGACCGCAGGTCCATCTAGCCCAGTAACATATCTGCAACAGTGTCTAAAGCGACCTCCAGTTTCTAGGAGGGAGGAAGGGCCACAGACATGCCAGACAGGTGGGAACACAGAAGCACCCTGATGGCAAGGATTCACAATAGCCTGCAGCAGCTGTGTCTCAAATCAGCTCACACATACGATTTCCCACATACAGGAATAACAAATATGAATGAGGGACTTCATGCAATGGCAGCTGGCAGATCCAGAGTGTTAGATCCAGGGCTAGGGATTCACCAGCCACCGGCAACACGGCTTGCCAGCTACCATTAAAACAAGGTTCTGCTGCCACTGGACGCTGAGCGCAGCTGAATCAGTCATGCAGTACGTCCAGACAAAACCCGCAGTGGGTCTGTGGTGTGACGTCAAAGATGACCACTGGCTGGATAAGGAAACGCTGATTCGCGCCCATGTTTACCCCTAAATATATGCGCAAGCCCTTACCCAGGACCCCTGCTACCTTAAGAAGATCTTTTCTCTGCCTTTCTCTGCTCCTCTCAAAGCATTTTATTAACCTTACAAGACAGATGCGGGGAAGACAGACAAATGCACCTGACAAGCAGAGACGAAGGGACAAATTTACACTGCAAGTTTTTAACGTATCTGGAAACGGAATCCAGGAGCTCCATGCCCTAGACATGCAGCAAAACCACCATTAGGGTTCTGAAGGATGATGGCCCAACATAGAAGCAGCTCAGAGGTAGGGGAGAGGCCCAGGAGTAGTTTCTGCTGGGGTGCAGGTAGATTTTGTGCATTAAGACAAATTTTGCATATACGCACCTGATGCGTTTCTGCAGCCTCTGGCTTCGGGTCTGCAACAAGTCCACCTGGGCCTCCAGCTCAGCTTTCTGATCTTGGAGCTCTTCAAGAGACTTACGCAGTTGCCGGATGGAGTCAAGAAGGTTGCTGTGCACTTTTCTATTCTCCTCTAGACGGAGCTGAGAAGCCAAAGCAGCTTCCTAGAAGCAAAAAAGAAACCCCTCTCTGTAATTTCCCTGGCACTCCATGCAAGAGACTTGTACTACCTACACCGTTCACAGCAGGTCCCAGAGCTATGAACGTGCATCCGACACGACAGTCCTGGAGGAACAGACAGCTTGCCAAAATCTCACCACAAAGAGGTTCTCCTGGACGTTGGAGGTATTTCCCTTCCGGTTAGGTCCACCCTATTCACCTTTCCTCACATGTTCCTCAGCCTGCTCTGTAGGCCTTTCACAACTATAGGCAGTTGGTAACACTCCGGAAACCTTTTACCTGGTGAGCAGCTACTTGATTTGCATCTCAGCCTCCGGCCACGAAGCTGGAGTTACTCTGATGTCTGCAGCACTATGAGCTCATACATCTGGCAAAACATAGGAGCCCACAAAGCAGAGAGGTGGGGAGGGCAGAGGAGGTCAGATGTCCAGCTTCTCTTTGGGACTGCGCAGACCAGCGCATTTCAAAGGGACAGTTCGTTGGCTTTGCACATTACGGTAAGATAGTTTTTCCGCTCAGTTTGGGAAATGACCAGTCTAAACTGAGGCTCCCGTTTCACCTTCAATGGTTCTGGCAACAACTGCCCAGGCACTGTCCCAGCTATGAGACAGTTTGGTAAAAGACACATTAATCAAAGACCAGGACTTTAGCCATAAACAGTACCAGAGCAAAGCAGGGCAGCGCAGGACTGTCTCCCCATTTCGGGGAACAGCTCTGAGCTTCCAGCAAGATGGCACTTCAGGCAGAGGCAAGGTGGCAGGGAGGGATTTTTCGACTCACAATTTAAGAGTTACACAGCTAGCTTTTTAAAGCCAACCTTCTAGCATGTTCCCCCTTGTCCCCGTCTCCAAAAGAAAAGCAGCAGAGCACCTCCCCAGAGCTCAAACATACATACTTCTCTCTCTAGCTCAGTCCGTCTGTCTTCATCCAGCAGCTGCTGCCTTTTCTTTCTCAGAGTCTCCTCCTACACGTAGGAGAGCAAGCAGGTGAGTGTCAGAGCATGGTGAGGCCAGCTGAGGAGACTGCCGAGACCCAGCAGCGCCCGGAAAAGTACAGAAGTCAGGCCTAACTTTCCAGGCCATTACAAAATAGCTGAGCATTGTTCTCAGTTTTGCTTTGTTTCCCCCTCCCCATACGCATTCACTCTGTCCCCCTCCCTTTGTGAGGCTTCAAGTGAGAAGTTGTGAATAAGCGTATCCCTATAGGAAGAACATCCTATCCTGCTCAGCTCCAAGAGTTCTCAAGGCACGTGCCCGTTTCTCCAGGATCTCACTTTTGTAAAGCCCTGGCTGCCCCCAGCAGTTCTCCACCTTCTCCCTTTCTTACTCCAATGCTACTTGGAAAGGAAGGGGTAATAGAAGCAAGATTGTCTACAGCCCTTTGAGCAAGCCAGGACTTACGAGATCTGACAGATAAGAGTATCAGCCAGTGATTTATTTATGCTGGCTCCACAGGGGCATTTGGAGCACCATCCTCTCCACTCTGCTTTCCACAATCCAGGAACAGTCATTCCCTTCTCAAGACAGCAGGGAGAAGAGGAGGTAAATCAGGAAGGGACTGTCTGAAATCCAAAGCGACAGTGAGCAGGACGTGTGGCCATGAAAGTATCTGTATGAGCCCTCTGACGCTCTTACAGCCACATACTGCTCCCCAAAGCGGGGTACTGACACAAACACCACCAGCCACGAGGCTGGACTACAATAGTAATGCTTAGCACTGCTCCAACTCTTGACAGAAGTTTCACTTTTAACTTGGATGGCAGCAAAAGCCTTGGCTGAGCACTTCTGAGGAGTCACGAGGAAGCAGTGAGAAGAGCAGCACAGGATGGGAAATATCTGGGCCCACCGTGGCTCGCTCACCTGGTTAAGGAGCTGTACCGATTTGGCCTTGACAGCCTTTGCTCGCATTTCAAGCTCATTTTCTGAATCCTGAAGTTTTCTTTCCTGCACAGAGATTGAGTGAGTCAAACAGAGAAGAATGGCACCAGTTGCTCACCAAGCAGAGCTCTGCCACCAGGGAAAACAGCAAAAACCTGGGCAAACATGACCTGCCACTTGTACTGCACTGGACTGTGGAGGGTGGCAGGAGTACTGCAGTGTCACAGTACCCAGGACACCCCTAAGCAGCCAAGTCATAACAAACTACCAGGCACACTGTTCTCCTCACCTTTTCCCTGTGCCTGTGCTGCAGTTCAGTGAGCCGCTCATCCAACTCTGCCTGTAGAGCTTTCACCTCCGCTTCATGAAGGTGTCGGAGGCGTATCACCTCACTTCGCAGGCCCTCAGACAGCTCTGCTCTTTGTTTTCTCCCCTGTTCGTTGCAAAAGCCAAACAAGAGAAGTGGCTGAGTGAAGCAGAGGCTTCTCCAGGAAGCAGGCATGAACACACAGGACACACACCCTCTGGAAAGCAGTGCCAGCCCAAGGACAGCCCAATTGGAACTACTACAGCCACCTCCCAATTCACTGTGCTCCCCTGCAGTACCTCCTCCTCATACTGATCCCGAATCTTTGCTAGGACCTCCTGGTGCTCCTCTTTCATCCTCTCCATTTTCCTCTCGTGGTCTTTTTCCACTCCCTGGCGTTTCTCTCTCAAAAGCTCACTGAGCTGCAGTGATCAAACAGAAAGAGGCTTCACCTGAACCACAGCGCTGCACTAGGGCGGCCCGCGCAGAGAGCGACTTCTCACACAAACAGAAAGGCTGAAGTTCAGAGTACCCTGCGACGGATCATGAGATCAGGCAGTGGCCTGGGTGCTAGAAAGCAAGTGCCCTGGTGAGGTGAGATGCTGTAGGAGCGTCCCTTCCCCTAATGCATCACTGTCACCCTTGGGCAGGGGACTTTGCCTCTCAGACCTCACCAGGCATCCAAGAAGGAGAGAGGGTGACAAATCTTCAGCCACCCAGGACGAATACTTGCCTCGCGTTCATATTCTATTACGTGGTATGCTTTTTGCTGGACTTTCTGCTCTGCCCTCTCCAAGTCTTCACGCAGCTGAGCCTCCTCAGTCCTCTGTGCCTCTGCTATCTGGGTTTGCAGGCTGGAAATGGCCTGCCAAGAAAACCACCCAGAGAGACATGTCACCCTTCGGACAAGATCCGTTTAGTGCCCTCCCATAAAGAGCAGGCAGCATGGCAAAGATCAACGTACACAGTTCCACCCCTCTCTACTTGGAGCACGCCCAAATGCTGACGGTTCTAAGACCAGAACCGTACTTAGGAAGTGGAAACAATTAATGTCACCCTCTCCAGCCACATTTGGAGAGGGTGTGGATAAAAATAATTCACATTCAAGAGATACCAGCTCGTACCTTTCGATGCTTCTCTGCTGCTGTGGATTTCAGCTGCTGGAGCTCTGTTGCAAACTGCTTCTCTAGCTCCTCTGTGGCCTATGAGGACATGAGCAAAAGGCCTGCTGGAAAACCGTTATTTGTAGAGACACAGCGCACAAGATGCGGTTGCGGTTAACATCTATCCATAAGCTTCAAAACCCACAATGGTCAACCCCTACCCACACCAAATTACATATAACGTCCCTTCACTATCTCTCTGTTTCCACCCCAAGACATCTTGATGGACCTGCACATCACGCTGTGCTGGGAGGACCACAAACAGCCTCCATTCAAGGACTTCCCAAGCCTTCTAGAGGACTAAAGCAGCAGTGAAAGAGCTATTCTGACCTGGTAAAAGAATTTGGCTTAGTTTGGCAAAGGCAGACAATGATCTCTCTCATTTCTTCAGATGCAATGCGGCCATGTAAATAATGGTTAATCAATCACCACTGTAACAAAAACGTGAGATTGCTCCTCCTCACCCCAATCATCCCTCTAATAGCATGCCAAACACCTTCCCTTTATGTTTTTATTGACTCATCATTAAAGCACATGCAGGTGTTATTTAATCTCAACAGTTTAACACTACAATGCAAGCCAGGTCAGCATAACTGGCACGGGTCTGACCCTATCCGGTAATAAACAAGTCTCACCTTCTTTTTTTCCCTTTCTAATCTCTCCTTGAACTCACTCAGGAATTCTTCCTTCTCTCGTTCTAATCTGACCATCTCACTCTGCTGAGCATCCTCTATTTCCAGCTTCATTTTCTCCAAAATAAGCTTCTTCATCCCCTCCAGGTTCGCCTTCTCTGTCACCTGCAGCGATTCCCACTCTTCTCTCAGTTTTTGCAGTGCAACCTCTTGCTCTGCCCTGGTAGGTTTGCAACAAGAACGCAGAGACAGAAGCAAGTCAGACTTTGGTACTTTAACACTGGGTTGCATTTAAGAATCAGAGCTCAGAGCACAAACCACTACAGACGAGACACGCCATCGGAAGAAATGGAGAACCAAGGCATGGTCAGATTCACCACCATATCACTTAAGGCCTTGGAAACGAACAGCTAAGCAGCCCGATGGAGAAGTAAGGGAGCTGTGCATATACCTCTCAGCTAAGTAAAAAGGAAAAAGCACAACTTAAGTTTTCCAGTGTCTGCCCTTTCTACCTCCTCCAATTGTTTTCACAGGCCTCAACAGCCATTACAAAGAATCACATCGGGTCAACGCAAGCTAACATTACTGGGTGCAGCTCTCCTTGAGAATGGAATTTCACATGCCCCACGGCTGTGACTGGGCCTACACTACGGCAATACCTCTCTGCAAGGCACTATTATGTAGTATGCGTGTACTCAGTAAATCTTCATTAGCTCTAAAAAGGCAGAGTGGCTACCGTTAAGGCTTACCACTTCCGCCTCTTATCAACACGTGGCTCCCCAACATGTACTGGATCATAGTTACTTTGTCATATTTACTACTCAGGCAAGGCATCAGCTGTGGGAAGCTCAGGTTGGCTAGTTCATCCTCTTTCAGTGGTTGCTGGTGGCATGCAAGGTACTTCCCTCCCAAGCCAGCAGAGTTCATGTTCCCAGGGAGGGCAGCTCCCTATTAGCTGCAGTGAAACTTTTCACCTTATCTTCTCCTTCTCTGCCTCCGTCTCTGAGGTGATTTGGGCTCGCAGCTTTGAAAGTCTTTCAGTTTCTTCCTTTCTCACCCGCAACTCTTCCTCTTTGGAAGCCTTTGCCAAATCCTCTTTCAGAGTCCTGAGAGATGAAGAGCAGGAGGGGGGGAAAAGAAAAAAAAAAAAAAGTGTTCAGGAGGCTTTACTTGTCTTCAAAGCCACCTCCCCAAGGCCTGTAGATCAGCTGCTGCTCCCACTCGCTACGCCTGCTTGAGTGATGCATTCCCAAGGTTCCAGATCATTAATTCTCTTCCATACTTCCAGAACGCGGCTGCTGGCGCAGCAGACACAACCTCTGAGGATCAAACTTCTGTGGTACATTTTTAAAATGTAATATATCATCACAGGGGGCCCTTTTTTTTTTTTTTTTTTTTTGAAGTAAATGAAATCAACTCCTGATAAATGAAAAGAGGCTCCCAGCCAAGGTAGCTGGGTGTATTAGCACATCTGTAAGCTCCTTATTTTCATACTAGACCCCTTTTTATTATTGCTTTATTACTGCTTAGACTTTTTGCCATCCAGCTGCAATTTCCTTATCTTTTTGCACCCAGCATAGCATTCCCACAACATTCATGCCAAGATACTGTTTCTGACTGGCTCAGTGTGCTGCTAAGAGCATATTTATCAGGGCTACCCCAAACAAAATGCAATCCTTGAGAGCAAATCCCCAGAAACAAGAGGACATAGCTCCCAGTGCTGTTCTGCTCCTTGGATTGCTATTAGTTAGGTCCCTGCACATTGGCTGGGTTTCATACGTACAAAGCCTTGCCCTATTCCTAAAAGCCTGGTTTGGAAGTCCCTCTGTAAAACATACAGTACCAGAGTTTCATATAGTTCCTCTGGGGCAACCTCATCTCTTCTAATGTTCCAATTTCCAGTATTCTTACTGCCATTTAGCCCAGGATTTGAAAGTCTGCCAGGTGGTAAAGCACCAGGCACTAAAGCATTAGTCACTGAACTGGAGACTTTTCCCAGGTTTACAATGAGAGACGGGCTCATAGCTATGCTGAAAGCTGTGTGTGCATCGAATCACGGCTCTTCCCGCAGGACACAAGGAAGATGCCCTCTTGTCTATATTGGAAAGAGAGCTTTCCTCAGGTGCAATGTACTCTCTACACATCTACGTCATGCATTTACAGCACTGATAGCAGACCATGATTCAGATCAAGATGTGCACATCCTGAAGCGCAGGACTGTTTGCATCAGGCAATGTCAGTCCCATGCTCCTTCCCCCCAGAAGCCTCGTTCTCACCTCCTTCACGCTCAACTCTGCAAAGCGGCACCAAGCTCCTGCTGCAGAGTTCAAAAGGCGGTGGCCTATAAAACAGTACAAGCCTGGGGCCACCAGCAACGGAGCACAGCCGGGAAAGGCTCAGGAGGAGAAACATGGGAGAGAGGGAGTAAAAAAAGAAAGTACCTGAGGGATTTTTCTTTTTGCTGATGAAGCTCCCGGGCTTCCTGCTCCTCCTGCTGCCTCATCTCCTCCTGGAATTGCTGAATTTTCTCCTTCTTTGCTTGTAATAAGTGCATTTTCTCTTGCTCTGCCTCCTTCTCCAGCTCCTTGGCTATTCCCTCTAGGGATTCTTCATTAGGGTGGTTCAAGGTCTCCTGTTTGATTTCTTCCTCAGGTTGCCTACCAAAAAAAGAAACCACCTTTGGCAACAGGATAACAGAGAACTGAGCAACATGAAGGGAACAGCAACATCCCCACACACAGTACCACCTCCAAACCAAAAATCTCAAAGCCACTTGCTGAACAAGCTTCACTCTCTAGGCAGGGAAAGAATATGCAGAATTTCCACTAGTTTGCAGCCACTTCTGGGCTAGTGTAGAAGGGCTGGTGGGGAGTGCTTGCTTTTTAGCTCCCAGGAGGTGAAGAACAGCAACGCAGGCAGGTGGAGGGCAAAGAGGCGGGGGGATAAGCTTGCTACAGAATGCATGCCGTCAGCGTTCCCTGCCACGTGCCTGGAAAATAAACCCATTTTCATGCTTCTCTGCCAAACGCACCGGCCTTACACTCCTAACTTTTGCAGCTCACAGGAAGGGACTCAGGAAAGCACTCTTTACAAGGCTACTGGGGGCTACACAGCACACTCTCAAAAGGCTTCAAGTAACAACACGTTAACTCAGATAACAGCATGGGAGAGTCCCCAAGCACCACTGGTAGGACCCATTACTGACTCTCAGAGAAACACAGACTGATCAATTATTATCCCCAGCTCTAACAGCACTTAGGTCCTGCATGACTCCTATTTTGGCCCATTACAGCTCACCTTGCAGGAGTAACATTGCCTCGCCTCATGAAGGATCTAGTAGCTAAGAAATCCTGGCTGGGGCTGCCAGGCATAAAAGCAGATGCAGTCAGTACCTGTTTCCAACCCAGGGACTGGCAACGTGCTTTCGATGGACCAGGTATTTTTCTGTATTTCCAGCATAAAGCGTGCTGGGATTCTGCCAGCTCTAGGCTGCAGAAAGCCCTAAGCTCTCCAAAAATTCAAAATCAATCTGTTTCTAATTAAGTTTTTTTTCAGACAGAGAGCAGCAAAGTTATGAGGCCTGAGAGAGGCTGAAGGGGAAGGAAGAGAAAATGAACACTGGTCTAAGAACAAAATGACATTTTTATTCTCTGCTAGTGAAATCTGAAGCAGCAAGGTCTCAGCATGCTCTGAGATGGCTAGGGTAAGGCAGAGGGACTTCAGACTTGCCAGGAATCAGGGAAAAAACAGCCCCAGTAATATAGCCTTGAATCAAAGAGAAAAGGTTCCTTAGGTAGCCACTAGCAACATAAGAGCAAGAAAGGGGAAAGGGCACTTAGGTTCTAGGGAAATCACACATCGCTAGCGCTCCCCCTTAACACTACATACTCTGGGCTGGCTGCAGAGACACCTCCAGAAGGTGCTAACAATCAGGCTGCTCTGTAAAGCAATTTGGACCCTTCCACCCTTCTATCACGTTCCTCCTTTTGACCTTTTTTTGGTTTAAAAAACCAACTAGCCGACACAAACATTTACAGAACTCAATACAATTCCTGGTAGAAAAAGGGAACTGCTGTGCTGGTCTCCACATCAAAGATTGCTTCTCCACTGCTTTGTCCTGAGAGATGCACTGCCTTTTTTTTTTTTTTTTTTTCCTCCTCCAACTAGATCTGCTGATCTGTCATTTGACATAGAAACACAAGTCAGCATGATCATTTCTACTGAGATCTTCTATTGCAGTGGAACTGCAGGCAGGTATCAGCAAAGACTGTCAATTTAGTACAATGATAAACCACTAGCTTTTGCAGGGAACCTGACTTCTACCATCTTGAGCTCTGACCTCATCATCTCAAACCAACCACTGTTCCCAGCGACTCTAATAAAATGTATTTTGGTATTTTTTTTCTCTCATCTCAGCACTACTCAGCAAGTGAACTCAGGAGTTTATGTGAAAGTGTTTATCCAAGGAGTGTGAATGCTGGACCTTGCTAGTGACACTGGTAAGGAGGAGGCTTTTCCGAGTACCCAGCAAACAGATCTTGCTCCATCCCAAAGAGTCCTGTATCGCAGAACCCAACGGGTGAGTTGCTGTTCTCACCCTCCCCAGTACGGACAACCGTCACGTCATGTTATCTCGGCACTCTTGCCAGCAAGACAGCTGCTTGGATTTGCACACTGAGATGTCTGTGATCTCTGCTAGGCCCACCAAACTCTATCTCCCGGTGTGCTGACATCACACAAAAAGAATACAAAGAAGGGCAAAAAAAGGACAAAAATCTGTTATGCTTACAACAGCAGGGACTTAAACAGAGCCCTTACGCTTTCTGCAGGACCGCAAGCTCCTCCAGATTGATTAGGCTATCCAGCGATCCCTCCTCCGGCTCCAGGGCCACAGCCTCTTCCTGTTTGGGGTTTTCTAAAGCAAAACACTTCTCTTCTGATGTTTCACTTTGATCCCTTTCACTTTGCAGCAGAAAAAAGGTAACAGAAGAGCAGATTAGCACAGATCAGATTCTAGTGCCTGCTGCAGGTAGACAAGACAGAGGGAGAACGGATGTGCAGTTGGACCTAGAGGGCCACGAAGACCGCAGCACCAGCTCATGCCTGCGAATGGGACCCATTTGTCCAACTTGGGATGGCCGAAGGCAGAACAAAGCTCCATCCCATTCACAGCCCCGCAAGCACTGCCAGGCTAACAGGCAGCCAAGGCTTTGAGAGGTGTCTGTCAGTCTCAAAGTGCTGAATTCCCTGGATTATCTCTTTTTCCAAGTCCTTAGAAAATTTCCCCAAGATAAATCAGCCCCATTAGTAATACTTGCAGCATGTCTCAGTTACAGATGGAAATACTGGCAAGCATGTTTATATCTACAGTCCTACTTCATCTTAGAAGCACAGAGAGGAGAGGCTAGGCAAGCACAAAGTAGCTTTACAGGCAGAGAGAAAGGAGAGGCTGCACAGCTGGGAAGCAAGTACCAAGTGATAAGGAGACAATTCCTGTGGGCAGAACATATTTTCAGGGACCTTCACATGAACAGCTCCTCTAAGCACAAGGCTGCAAATCCCAAGTGCAGGCAGCAAGTCATTAAGATCAACTGCAGCTTCTTCTGTTCGCAAGTTTTCCTGGCACAGGTAACAGCTTCTTGGGTCCCAGGGCCCAAGGCTATTGTGTAACTCCGTATGGAGACTAGGAGTTTTGACACAGTCCACCTATAAATGCCACATGCTACAGCTCTCAAGGGGAGGGCTCGAGAGAGCATGAGGCTCACTGATCAGCACAGTGTTTTTATCATTTTAAACAAGTCTCCACAAACAGGAGGAAAACAGTTCCCCTTAACAGTCTAATCCGCTCAGTAACTAAGAGCCTGCCTTGCTCTTGACGTGATAGTTGTTGTACTCTAGAGTAAGTTGTCCACATACCAGGATATAAAATAGCTTAACAACGATGCTTGCCCAAACAGCAACCTGCTCTAGGCCACCTTTATGGAAGGAAATGGAACAGAACCGTTCACACTGGAGCTGGACTCTCCTGCCATCAGGAACTGTGAGCCAGGTTGCCCCTGGGAGCCTTTGGCTACAGGCTCTTCCCAGCGAAGAGCTGGCAGTCCAGCAGGACTGCTGCCAACTGAGCTCGAGGGCTGTCTTGCACCTGAAAGGTGTGTCATCAGGCGATGGCTAGTGGCTAGTCTTCCGTAGTTAAATGCCATAAGGCACAACACACAACGTGAACAAGTCCAGACCATCTTGGCAAGAAGGTGAACTTTTGCAGCCTTAGAGAAAACTCAGATAGCTAGCTGTAAGGGAAACGGAAAAGCCGACTTCACATCTGAGGGAGAACGTCAGGAAAAGGCAGGCAGGCGTTTTTTCTGCCTCCCCAGTGAGAAGCTGAAACAGTTGAAACCTGCTGAGACAGTACCAAGGAGGTGGGGAGGAGAAAAGTGAGAGATGGGAGGGAAAAGACCTTGTGAGAAGCTGCAGGACCTCAGGGTGTTCTATAAGGGACTTCTGCATGGGGTGGAGCGATCAGAGCACAGCAGGGGCAGACTAGACAGGAAAGTTGTCCGAAGTTAGACTTGTCCATGCCTCCGTGATTGTCCTGACTGTTTGTACCATACCTCTCAGTAGCTTTTGTTCTTTTGCTTTGCTCTTCCTCTATACTGGCTTTGCTTTGGTCTTTTTCCTCTTCTCCCAGCTCCTGTGCCTGCAGGTAAAAGCAAAGAGTGTGGAGTTTCCTGGCTCCTTTGCCATCAAAGCCCCTCGGGAGCTTACAGCGGTCCTGCCGAAGAGCAGTCGCCGCTCTCATCCTGCACATCAGCACTGATCCCAAGGACCAAACTGCATCCACAGGGTATCGCAGAGCGCCCGACTGCATGCGCCAGCCTCCTCTCCCACAGCTAACCACAGGACACAAAAGTCTGGAGGGATACCTTGGAGAAATAGTTCCAGCAGCATAACAGAGACACCTGGGAGCTCAGCTCTCCAGGCTGAGTTAGATTTTGGTTTGGGGGTTGTTTTTTTCAATACAGCAGACAGACTCTCTGCCAGTGCTCAGCATTTTGGACACAAGCCTTTTTCCTGAAGGTCATCCTACATATCCAAGTAGCACTAAACTCTCTGAAAAACGTAGGACAACAATCTCCTAAAAAAAGGAACATCACACACATGAAAGTGAAATAACGTGCCATGGCCTTAAGGCAATTGACATATCAACTATGACCAGAATCACAACAGGACTCAGTTCTGCTTTGCACTTGTTTCTGAGCAGATCACCACGGGCATTATATTACGTGCAGTCACAGCTACACGAGGGTTTCTGACTACTCTCTCCAGAACAAATCAGTCTGGGTGCTGCTAAGGAAGCCAGTCCCCCTGGGTAATCCAGTCCGAGTGATTTCAGTTGGCTTATTTATGAAATACTAAATATTTGAAATGCGAATAGCATTCTCCCACCTGCCATCTACCAGGTGCCTCTGCTAAGGGAGATTTTTGTGAGAAGAAAGGAAACTAGCAGGCACAAGAGCACAACCCCAAGTCAGGGAGGATCTAGCTGTAATCTGCAGAAAAGCAGCTTGCAACTGCACTGAGCGATGGTGAAATGCACACCATGCCAGGCCCAGGAAATTGAGGCTAGGAGGTGAGGACCAGCCGATCCCACCCGAGTAAAAAGAGTGGTCAGCAAGAGCATCAGTACTCCCTGCAGTAGGCACACACAAACATGCATTGCATAGTTCACCTGGAGAGAGGAGGAAATTCTCCCTTCAAGCCACCAGTCCTACATGGGAAAGCATTAATGGCCCAGCCTTCCTGCTGAGGTTTCTGGGCGCTGGGTCCCCAGAGGAGTAGCTCATTCATAAATTCTTGGGGACCACAGGAACAGGAGGTGAGCTCAGCCTTTGCCATGTGAGAGTGTACTGAGGGGCAGGGCCAAAACGAACACAGAATTGAAGCAGTAATTTATGCAAACGAACAGTGAAGCAAACAGCAGAAGGACTCCCTGCAAGTGCTGTCACCTTTCATCATATCGGCCTGGCCAGAGCTCTGCCAGGCAGCGCTCCCTCCCAGCCTCCCTCCTGCCCCAGCCTAAATAACTTCAATTCCTGAGAACCAAGGAGCTCAGCAAACGTCTTCTGGCTCAACCCGGGCTCTGCCGCTGCTGCCTTTGAAAGGAAAGGAGCCAGACAAACGGAGAATGAGATCGCCCTGGGAAAAAAGATAACCAGTGACAGAGTAACGCTGCTGAGCCCACACTTGAGGCCACTGTCACACTGCTGCCCAACGTGCCTTCCCAGGAGGGCACTCCCTCCCCAAGAATCACCCGCTGCAGGAATCTTGAGAAGTATTTGAGAAGGTGAAGACAGCACCTACCTGCAAGGAGCAAGAGCTGGATTTTAAGCCCTAACCGCGCAGTTACTGGAGAGTCTTGTCCCTCTCGTTGCCTCAGGACCACCAGCAGCCCCAGAGGAAACACCAAGTACTGTTAGCAGCTTGGTTTTCTGTCCTATTTAAATGCCAGGCCAGGTCCCACAGGAGAAATCTCACATGCTCAAGATACAAAGGCAGTCTTGGGGGCACAGCAAAGCAGGATGACAGATAATAGGCTGTCTCCTCTCTGCGCACAGCACAGTCCCCAAGGGACCTCAACAGGAGGGTTTCCACGCACTCCAGCACGCATCAGCTTAGACTCTGAGCCTGCTTCCAGCTCCTCACACCATCCTCCTCGGTGTGCGGCAATGCACAGAGCAGGATGCCAGCATTTTAGACGCCTGCTAAGTAAGGGGTCCATTGCCAGGAGAGAAGTCAGGCCTCCCGGCAGGCAGCAGCCCATGCTGCCTCTGCAGCCTACCACAGCTCCTGGCAAAGCACACTAACCAAAAACTCCAATGCCACGCTCCAGTTGCTGCCACAGAGGCAGTCTTTTTTTAAAAGCAGAGTATTTTGCCAATGTGTTCAAAGCAAAGCAAGCTCATTTGTGGAAGTAAAAACATTCCAACAATCCCGAATCATTTCAAAATAGCCTCTATCAACACAAAAGAGCAGCTGCAGTTCTGCAGGGGGCACCATTTCAAATCCACCTCTCTCTCCTCAAGACAAGGCTGTAATAAACTCAAAATGTGTCTGCTCCAGCAAGACATTTGTATGCATGACGACTGCGCCATAGCAAAAGGGAGAGGGGGAGAACACAGCAGGCATATGTTTTGTTTTCCCTTCACATCTGATTATGCTCATTATTAGGCACAAGAGGACAGGTGTATTCTCCAAACACAACCTAACAAACTGGATTGCTCCTCTCTGCTGGACAGGTGGTGAGTTTGTCACTCAAGATCTCCTCCAGTGCAGCTGATCAACTCACTTACAATCAGATCAAGGCTGAGTAAACCCC